GAGTTAATTAGTCTTTTTTTCCGTCCAAAGATGATGGCCGTATTTTTATTCTGCATTCTTGAACATTTGTATTCATTCTGCGAGGTGTTCACCATGTTGAAACTGACCCAAGAGGGCATAGTGCCGAGATGTCTTGAGTATGTTGTTTTTTTTCTTCCCATCCAAGAGGAGGAAACATCATACGCTTTGGAATTTCAGGAAGCTCATGTAGATTCCTTTACAACCATCTACTAAGTTTCCCTAAAATCTAGGAATCAAATCTTTAGTGCGAGAGCTTCTTCAAGGCCTGGTAGTAGCGGTAGCGTCTCAGTAGCTAGGAGCTTACTTAACCCTTGCTCAATTAAGCATGGAGGCAGGGCCACGGGCTAAGAATAAGAATTACAAGACAGAGCCCGCCAGGAAAACATGTGTTTGATGTGTTGCACCTTCTTCCCCAGGCCTCGAGAAGCTGGAGGACTTTCTATGCGAGACTAGCATTGATAGACAGGTTGTGCAGGAGGCTTGCAGGCTGCGAGCAACCACCAGCTATACCTTCGAAGGCCGGTCCGCTATAGGATGACTCCTGGTGCATATATTTATACTTATAGTAGTATATATGTACATAATATGTGTATCTATATCTAATTTTACAGTATATGTCCTGGTCAGAGAGAGCAATCCAGCGGTCAACTCATCGGTGAAACAACCCAGCGGGTGATGAGAATGGAGACGTATTCAGATCCGTGAGTTTGTCACGAAACACGCCATGATCCAAGCGCTTTGTGGCATCCAGCTTCCTGATGGAAGCCCTGCTCCACCTCGGACTCAAAACGTGGTCCTTTATGCCTCCTCCATGTTTGTTGTACCACTGGGAAAAGACAATTGTAGGGTTCCCCGCATATCAGTTGTTGCCAAATTTGGGGCACTGTCCTCACTGGCTTTGCACTGTAACCGCGATCCCCGCCGCTGGCCCCTCACCCTCTTCTCACACGCTTTCCCCTTCCGCCGCAGGCGGAGAGACGGAAGCTCCACCGGTGAGACGGCGGCGCGCGTACACCGCGGATGTGCTGGATCCGCCGCCCCGGACGGACGCTCTGACAAACGGGGCTTGATGGATGACCGGTGAGCATGGCCATAGCATCAAAGACTTGGGTGATGATCATCAAAGACTTGGGTAGACTCTTGATGAATAAACATGAATACACCCCCTCCCCAAACATGGATTGACAAACCTCCTCTCGCGCTCACGATCTGATGTGAGACTCTGCCGGTGGCTTCCACCACTTCGGCAAACAACGACCCCAATTCTCCAAAGGGGCACCAACCTACGTGTTCATATGGGGACTCTTCATGAATCAAGAGTCTACATTAGCTTATGCTTAGGATCATGTTGTGAAATTGATTGATGTTGATTCCTGTAATTTGTAGCTTGGTCTTGTTGGACTGGTTATCCAATTATCCAAGTACTGTGCAAAAGATGGGCTGCGGAGAGGTGTGCCTCAGACATGGTCAAGGATCCAATGATGCAAATGTTTGGGATTGTTCACTTCAGCAGATCATGAGAGACACCTGAGTTTGCCCGGGTAGTCATTCGAGTGGATTTGTTGATCCAGGTGATGTGTTTTGACCCATTGTTGCATTCGAGCCTCCCCGAACTGAAAGATGTTGACCTAGTGCAATGTCACAATCGACCAGTGTTTCAGTGAGTTCAATGGGTCCAAAAGCCGCGATTGGTTTTCTTCACCAGGCCCCATCGGCAAGTCCAAACGTTTTGGCCGGCGCGAATGCGCATGGCCGGTCGAAGAATTTCGGAGGAAAAGGTCCAAGGATGCATTTGGAGCATGGGGGTGTCAATCCGTTGGCTTTTGACCGGTCGGGGTGTCGGTGACCTGTCGGTGTGCGTTGGCTTTCGCAGGCCTGAAAGCCATTGCTTGACGATTGCAGAGTGATCACTGCAGGGAGATGTACCATAGTTCGGTGGTCGTGTTCTGTCAGGTATGCCATTAAGAGAAAACACAACTTGACCTAACCATGAAGCGACCCAGCCCGTTCCAGTGGTTTTGGGCGGTTCGAAGTACAGCCTTCACTGACTATACATGAGACATCATGAGACAATCTTGGAGAAACCAGTCACCCCCCCTCCAACAATCATGGAAGCTGAAGATTCATGGTTTTCTGGGGGCGATTTGTCTTAAGGAATCATGTGCACAGAATTTGGCAGGCTTGATGGCCCCTTGTTTGTGAGGAAGTCCGCAATGGACCATGTCCATTTGTGATTGCAGCGCCTAGCTGAGACCTGTACTTACCTGTTCCTTCCATAAGTTCATATTATTTGCGCCTCCATATCCAGTGGACCCGCATCCAGTGGCACTTGGTGTGCGGTGACGCACCTGCGAAGCAATTCCGTCCCTACTAAATTCTCTACTGTTGACTTGTTGACTCCTTAGGTCTCCAGTGGTCACAGGCCCGCGTTGGTCAACCTCCAGGCCCGAGTTCTTCATATTGAGGCTCTATCACACCGCTTCCGGAACTGCCAGCTGTTACAGCCCTGGTCCTTCGAAACAGCCACTGCTTTAGGATGGGGCTGGATGGATGTGACGATTGGCGGGGTGAGGAGGAAGTGGGGGCCATGTCTTGACAATTTGTTGCAGTTTGTTTTAGTCCGTGAAGGTTCTATAGATAGGAATCCAACACTTGCATGTGGCATCATTTTGCTGTATGGCGCTACTTGCGTGAAGAGGATTCTCGTTGCTCAGGTGGGTGCAATGTTTGTTCTGGGGTGCTTCTTGGACTTTGGAAGCGTATTTTCTTGGGAGTTGACAGGAATCAAATCAAACCCGGTTGGAAGAGCCTCAGAGAGGCAAGCTCTTGTTCGATTCATTCGCACCAGTTCCGCCAGTAAAGTTCCAGGAACCTTCTCTTCAGAAGTTGGGCAGGAGGCGAGCGGTTAGGATCTAAAGTGTTTCCAATGCGCATGGATGACAAAGAAACAATATTGAACATATAATTATGTTCTATTTTGAGAGTGCACGCTGCTGGTGTTTGTGATGTTTGACAGCTTACGTAACAATACTGACATATGTTGAACACTTGGAGGATGAGAAGCTTCAGTAACAGGACCTGTTGAATATGGCGAAATATTGCGAAAATTGCTGAGTCAAATAGTTTGCTGCCTCATGTCGAGTAGAGGTGGGAAGTGCAGTCACCTCCAGGCAAGGGACTTAATAAGTCAGCTACCAGGCGGTTCAGAGACTGGAGAGTGGGTGGGGATATTTGCTCGCCTTCGCCTTGATGCACTAACCGAGACCAGCTTGGGCCACTTCCAAGCTAGCAAAGATCCATCTTCCAAAAAACCACCAAACAAACCACTTCATGACAAAACATTGACATCCCATGGGATTGTAAGTGCCACATCCCATTGACATCCGACTGTTTGAGGATCCCATACCACTTCAGAGACATGCCATGGGATCCTCAAACAGCACTTCCCGAGGCCGGATCCAGATCCCTGGGCCGTGGCGAGGGCCTCAGGGCCTCGAACGGGCTTATTTCACGGTCAACCCTTGACAGTCGGTTCGTTTCACCTCTCGGTCGGTCGGTTCTTTTCGCACAACCCCTCGACTTCACATGGATCCGAACGAACTGACTCGACTTCAGTCGCTTTGTCTGTCTTCGGCAGAGGTCGCACCGTCGAACGAAGACGCTTGGTTCCGTGGCTTCGTCCCGATGTTTGGGACGAAGCGTGGGCTCCCATGGCTGTGTTTGTTCGTCGTGAACGGGTTCGTGCGCGGTTCGCGCGGTCTCCCTTTTCGGCGCAAGACCATGCAAGGAAGCTATCTCCTTCATTGAGACTGAGCAAGGCCATGGCTACATCCTTTTTGGCACAGACGAATTTTGAAGGTCACGGCCCCATTCCTTCGCAGTGTGGAGGTCGCGGTGCACTGCTGTGCAGTGTTCATGTACCCAAATAGCCGCGGCAGAGGTTTCCAGACAATTCTTCCAAATGGCATGCTGTGCACTGTAGTTTCAATAGTGCTACTTGGTCCAGTATATGGAGAGCCAACCAGAAGTGTGAAGATCTTTCTGCATGAGAGCCCGAACCACTGGACTGGAAGAGATGGGCTGCCGGAATGCTTCGGAGTCGAACCTGCGCGAGTACAGTCCGGTGCCGATCACTGGGCCATTGCACCATGCCGAGTGATTTCCAGAGCTTTTCCAGGGCTCAACTCGGTGGAACATCAAGGCCAATGAAGAAATGGCGGTGGGTCAAGGACTGTAAACTCCCTATTCAGAAGGCATGTGCATGTGCTGTATTTGTTGGGGGTGCTCACCATGCTCACCTGTTGAGTGAGACATGGACAGGATTGTTTGCTCGGTCTTCAGTTTTGACCCATGCCAAGTCATCCAGTGAAGCAACGCTGGTTGAAGACTGGCAACAGGATCCTGAGCGTCAGCGAGGCCGCGCGAACTCTTTTTTTTTTGGGCGTTTGCTCGAGGTGTACTTCTTGCATTGCTGTAGCCATTCCCTGTGCTACCAAAATTGTTGTAGCCTTCTTGATTCAAGATTTGTTGGACTGCTCAGGCTTGCCCCCACAAGCTGCAAGCTCTCGTGGGACGTTTTTCACCGTACGCGTCACCTAAAGGTGAGTCAAGCGTGCGGGCGAATTCGAGCTGCTGAAAAACGGATGAGCAGGTCAGGCACGCGAGAAATGATCCTTATGGAAACGTGGAATTGTTGCAGGTTGCTCTAAGGAGCTTGGAACATGTTAGACTCTTAGACGCTTCAGTGACCACTAACTCCTCGGCATGTGTTGCAGCAGCGTCCAAGTGGGGGCGGCGCTGCATACCGTCCGCCACGCTAGGAAGATGTGTGTGTTTTCATATGATGTTGTATACTGCCTACGAGTCTACGCCATATTATCGCCGTAGAATCACCAGCCATTCCTCTACCATGTCCTGCCCACAAATCACCCTGGAGGCACCAGCCCTCAAACTGCAAGTCGACAGCTGGCAGCCTGCAGATGTTTGTTTTCCTCGACCCTTGGGACAGCCAGGTACTCTTCTACATCACCATGCTCCCCTTGCTTTTTTGGGTCAGGGCCTCAGCGAGCCACGCCTGCCTCGGTGTGACAGCTGGCATCATACACGATGCCCATGTGCAATTTGCGGTGCTCAGGTAGGAGAACTGCAGCCGGGGCCGCAGAGTGCTGAACACTCCGTGGGCGAAGGAAGAAGTACCGGTTGTGAACATGGTTTTAAGTTTTCACTGACTCAAAGGTGCTGAGTGACGTGAAGACATGAAACAGACACAAAAAGCGTTGTTCACGTGCTTGGGATCCATGTGAGCCGTGCAAAAGCTTTGCTCGTTCACATGACTAGCTGCTTAGGGTGTTGTCATGCTGAAGGCGGCGCATGTCAGGTTTGAAGAAACATGCTATTTAATATGATATGGAAAACGCAATGTGCAAGGCGCAAGTACGTACAGTGCTCGTAGTAAGCGCAGACGCTCCGTAAGAAGTACAATCCGACAAGATACCCAGAGCGTCTTTCGCTCGCTGGCGTGTTTTCCAATTAAGTGCTGCGTGTGAGCTCACACATGTTGGTTTGTGAGAGCAGCGTGAGCAGTCGCCAAAGCACAATAACTATATGTACATAGGAATCTGCTAAAGCTTTCAGAAAAGCTGCGCAGTTCGTAAGGTAATTATGGGGACTGAACTGCATGCAAGCGCCTGCAGGCTGGGGAACCAAGTAGGCCAACTTCTTTTGAGAATCCAGGACCACCTTTACACCACACCTTCCGTTGTTGGATGCGGTTCATTCTGATGCCTTTCCATACTTTCAGGTAGGTAGGATGAGTTGACAAGATTCAGGCTTACGTTTTGAGGAAAATTCCATGAGAGATAAGCATGAGGAAATGTCAGCAGGCTCGGAGCATGGCTTGGTTTTGAAGGTTGGTGGTGTGTCCGGTGCGAGGCCGGGCAGTAGACTGATCGCTACTGGCAATGGATCAAACAAGCCCATTGTTGTGGGGGGGGGGCGTGCGCATGCGTGTGCATTTGTGCGATCGCTGATCTGGAGATCTGGAGGGCATGCGTGCGCTCAGTGAGACTGCTATCACAAACCAAGTGGGTCTGTTTTGCTTGAGGGCGAACACTGAGACGTGGTGCTCCGCAAAGAGTTTCACTTTGACCCAGACTTTGGCCATCACTAGCCTGACAGGAAGACCCTTGGAATCGTTGGAAATGGTGAGACCTTTAGTAGCAGGGACGCTGTTAGGTTGGAGGCCATCGCTCCAAGAAACAAGAAGCTACGCACGTAGCAAGGCTCACGTTCTCCGTTCACCGATGTGGGGCCCAGTGGAGCTGGGCCGATTCACAGAGTCCTAAGGCTGGCCAGGCAGGCGACCTCGTCGGGGGTGCTGAGAGTGAGGTGTTTGGGATGGTTTTTGGCTTTCTTGATCCAGGAATTCAGTCAAACCGTAACCTAGTAACTATATTATAAGAGGCTATATATAATTAGAACTGGTAGGACCGGACTATAGAAAAGAAACGCTCACTTGATGGTCTCGGCCGCCCTGTGGCCTGTGACGACAGCCTTGGGTTGATTCGTGCAGACATGGAGGAGGGTGTCCTGTTGCCCGACCGACGGCGGCAGGGCGAGTCCCTTGTCATGCTAAGAATATCCAAGAATTATTGTCAGAACAGCCAGGGGTTCACTTGCAAGTTTTTCGACTGCATGGGACAATTTATTCTTACCAACGAGTACGCTTGTAGGAGCTAGAGAAAGGTTGCCCTTTGTATCCAGCAAAACTGGGCAGCAGAGGTGGACGTGAAGTGGGCTGGTTTTCTAGTGAGGCAAGGTAGCCGTCGTGATGCTGCAACCCGGAAGGGGTAGCTAGTATTGAGCAAACAACACTCACACCATCTCTCATCTATAGTGGACGGACTTATTTGGCTTGCCAATCTGCAGTGTTCGTCTCAAGTCAGCAGTGGCTGCTCAATCCACAACCAAATGCTTCGGGCCCACTTGCTTCGCTGAGTGAACATTTGGCGTCCAGATGAACCCAGACGACCTAAAGGACAAAATAAATACAGAAAAGACAAAGCCAAAGCGTATCAAAGCGTCCAAGTCTTCCATTCCGGAAACCCAAGCTCATCCAAGCCCCCAACCGGAACAATGTTTGTGGACTTCGGCCTTCACCAAGCCTTTTCAATGGTCCCTCGTCCGGGCGTTCCGTTTCGCGACCGGAACGTTCCGTTTCGGGCGACCGGACGTTTCGCATGAGGTTCATGGCGACCTGCATTTACGTGGCGCACCGAGAGATCGAGTGGCGCATCCTCCGGAGTCACGGCGCGGCGGAGCCGGCTGAGGTGGGGAATGCCGTGAAGGACGCCATCAGTGCTCCACGGATCGGGGTCCAAGGCAAGTCAAGAGGGTTGGATTCGCCCAGAAAAAAAACATGGGTTTTTGTCAAAGGCAAACGGAAGGGTAGTGCACAGAAAGGGTTTTGCAAAAACCTATTCTACTAACGTCGTGGAAGGCGCGTGACCTTCGTAGAACCCAAGGCTGTTCGTGGACAGTCGTGGAATGGTGGGCCAGTAGGAGAACTGACTGCAACGAAATCCCAGAAACCTTCGCAGAACTTCGTGGAAGGTATTTTTGATGCACTAACTTCGTATAAGCGATTTTTGCTGACCCCCTTTCTCCACACACCCTCCGTTTAGCCTTCATTTTGGAATGCAGCGATGAACGTTGGGATGACGCTGGATTCATGGTGTTGTTTGATTGTTGCTTTTGATTGTTGTGTTTCTTTCAATCGATCTGTTCTATTTGGTGATTAGGATGCCGACCAGGAGTGACCCTCATGTGCGGTGAGGCCGGACTGGAGCAAAGGAGTCCGCTTGGTCCGCCCTGCTCTGAGGATTTCGATGCAATGACATGAAAGTTATACGTGATAACGTATGACTCCGAGCGAAGCAAAGATGAAAGCCACCAGTTGAATGTTCCCTGTCAAACCCTCCTTTGAACATGAACACCTGGAAGACCTTGTTCATCCTTTTTCCTTTTATGAACCAGTATGAACCGGTTCTTTCATGGTTCTCAATGGTTCTCTTTGTTTTCCAGATGTTTCTGGCACCTCTGCCTGTTGCTTCCCGCGTGTCTCCTTCGCACGTGGCTCCTTCGCAGGTGATGGGGCTGGCGATGGGTCGCGGGGTATCTCAGGGCGCATGGGTGGGGCAGGAAATGGCCGAGGCACACGTTTTGGTGCGAAAGAACCGTGCCGTTAAGGACAGTCCTTCGCCGAAATCCAAGGAACACTTATTGCTTATGTTTCCTTTGAAACACCATGGGCGAGGGCAAACAACCTTGCAGGCAGAGTCGAGCTGCCTAGATTTGCTCCAAGAGATCTTCCAACAAGCAGAGGATTCCTTTGACCGTTTAGCCCTCCAGGCAGCCTTGTTTGAAGCAAAGCACCATAACATTCGTTGCGACCGATCATCGGGCATGTCCATACCATACCATTGCCCAGCGATGTCTTCATCAGGGGAGCAATGAGAGAGGGGCACACTTGCTGCCATGCCTTACATATTTTTGTTGATTACCAACTATGGCCAATCTCGCCTCATCCCTCCAAGAGACAAACGTGGGGCTGGTTCCCAAGTGACGAGGGGTCGCACGGTCGTGTGTGTTCTTCGGTGTTCTTCGCATGGACATCTTAGACTCTTGGATCAAGAGGAATATCAGTAATTAAACGATTAAAGGCCATGGTGCACTCCCTGAAATCGCCACGGAGGTGAACAATGGCATTTTGGATGACTCGTTTTCTTCCTTTAACAAATATAGGTGGTTTTCCACATCCATGATTCCAGGGTGTGTATACAAAAAGCGTTGTAGCTAACGATAATCCTTCTTTTTGCATGTGGTGCTCGGTCCGCTGGGAAGCCCGCTTGATCGCTGGGAAGCACCGGGTGACGGTGTTTGGCCCACTTGGTCCCCCTGGCTTTTCAGGCAGCTTGACTCTACTTTTGGACGGAGTGTGAGTGAGGTGTTTTTTGTGTGAAATGCATTGAGGGGACAGGAGGAAACGAGGAGTATCGAGGAGTCCATGGACATGGAGGAAAGATTCCATGCAAGCCGAGTCCATGGAACATCAAACAGAGGAGTCCATTTCCATACAATACTCCTCCGGCAAACTTGGCGAACGTTGGAAGCAGTGAGACCAATCAAGGAATTTGCACGTGGATTCTGATTCATGTAAAACCCTTGGTTCATTTGTAGGGACATACCGTATGCCTCAGATAAGTGGGGCTTGGGTTTTGGGTCACCCGTCAGTCATAGTCATACGTGTTGAATGTTGTTGAGACATTGCCTTCAGAGAGCCTCAGAGCGTTAGATGACTTGTTTCAATCGAGATATCCTTGTCGCGGGTTGCAGGCAGACGGATGAGATGGAGTACGGCTTGCCCAGCTCGGCTCCTCAAGGGTTGGGAGGGCCATGGGGAGCGCCGTGGGGTCATCGTACAGCTGCGGTGATACAGCCCTTACACATGGAAGATGCTTAAAGATACAATGTAATACAGAAGGGGCAAAACACAGGCCCCACGGCGGCCCGCTCTCTAAAGATAGAGCCACCTGCATGTAGAATCTAAGATAGAGCAATTTTGAGTCCTAGGTCCCAAATGGAGAAATCGGGTCAAATTGACCTCCTTTGGCAGATGCTTTCATTCCCCAACCCATGGCAAGCAGCCAATCTGCAGATGATCAGGCACTCACACGATCAACACGCTTTGCATGTGAGGCGCCCAGAATTCAAGTTCCGCTGGAGCAATCAAAGCCTTAAGGTGAAAGTCAAGCATTCAGTGAGCCTTTGCTTTCGAGCAGTCCCAGTAGTCCCCCCTCCTGATACCTTCCCTCCATCTCCGAACCTGTTGCAACGAGGATGACTCAGACCCCCCATGTCACCAAGCACACTTGACGTGCTATGCTCCTGCGCTCGCTTTGCCCGTGATTGATTCAGGTGGAGCTATGTTTTCTACTACTACAGCAGCTCCTCCAGCCACTTTGACAGCCAGACGTTTGAGCTAGATGTGCTTCTGGATGCCTTTGCACATTTTCAGCCTTTTGTATTCCTTTAGCCTGTGCTATGTTTTGACATTTTTGGTGCCATGCTGTGAAGAGTGAGCGATTTTGCGGCAAATCTTCTCCCATTTGGATGGCCAGCGAGGCTACGGCGATGGCTTCTCGGTCTATTTGCGGACATTGAGGCGATGCCAAGCTCCGCAAATTGGGGTGTGGTGCCTTTCTGGATCGGAGTTCCACCGGTCCCACGGTTTCTCTTTGGAGGGATCATGAATGGGTCGACCACCCATTCTTGCGAGGTCTCCGTGGCTGCTTTTGTTTGAAGCTCAGACATGGCGTCAAAGCCTGAGAAACGAAATGTTGGACACCCCAGGCTGTTCATTCTGAACATCACCTGGTGCTTGTTTATGATGCCCGCGCCTCAATCAGAGAATCGAGGAGGTTTTTAATTCTAGGGAGTCCTGGGCAGGAATGGCATGGAATGGCCATCAATGATGAAACGTCTAATGACTGGTTCCTGATGTTGTTTCTTCTGTGGGGTGGGGATGGGGGGGGGGCAGGACGTGTCACAAATGCTCCCGAGGCATGGTCGTGTGTACTTGGGCATGCACTCGCCCATCGACATTGTGGTATCCTCAGCCGATGCGAAACGGACCAGGACCTGCAAGAACTGAAGTGGTGTGTTGCGAGGTTGCCGGATTGGTTTTGGCAGTTCTGTTGCTCCACGTTTACATCCAAGTCCCAACCTTACATATGACCTGAAAACAATGCAACCAAATGAAATGAACAAAACAACGTCATTTGCGGAGCGCGTGTTTGAACATTTGTTTCCGTCAACTATGGCATTTTAGTTTCTTGTATTTGGATGTATTTGGCCAAGATTGATGATTTCATCGATGCCTGGATGACTGCAACAACTGCTTTCGTATGCGTCTCAGCCTTCAAAAAAACTGGTGCATGTACGTATGTGCAAATGTTTTTGGGGTTAATTTTTCGATCCAGGTACCGGCCTACCAATTGGCCTTTGCATCCGTTCTTTGTTCCAATCTCAGCATGAACGAACGATTTAACGTGTACTGATGCTACAGGGATGGCATGTGAAGGATGTCATGTCCAACCGCCTCGCCGCAACCAAGGTTGGACTTACCCAAGGGGGTTGCAGCCCTGACCTTGAAGACATGTTTGTTCTGTTTGTTTTTGTAATGAACTTCAGGTTTGCGGTTTGCAGAGGTTGTTGTTTGGTTTATTTTCAGGAAGACGCCATCTTACAACTATGCAGTGTATTTCACGGGCGTTTGCCAGAGGCCCAAGCTGTTTCTTAAGTGTGTGGCTGGAGGTACTATCATTCATTTCATTTCATTTCCATTAGCAGTCACCGTTTTTTATTCACACCTGGACGACGAGGAATCCAGTCCGTTGTTTAGTAACGGTCACGGACGTTCCCTGGATCTGAACCAGGAAGAATGGACGACCTGCAGGGTTTATTTCTGTTCTTCCCACTTGAATTGACTTGACGTTTTAGCCGAGAGGTCCGGTGTTCAGAACGTTGTTGATTGACACCCACAAAGGTGTACCCCCGAGACATCGTGGAGTTTTCGACTGCGCATCCATCGGCTCCTCGCTTCGCCGCGGTGGAACCCGCTCCACTTGTTCCGGTGAGTAGGACGCCCGTTCCGGTGGCTTCGGTGGTTTGATTCGTAGTGATGCGAAACACCCCACTCATGCGCTCGTGGCATTGGTTTGTAACTAGGAGGACCCATGGAGACCCCCTGAAAGTGGCCCAACATAGACTATAGTAGATGCTAAATAACCAATTAAATTTGTTGAAGGGGTCTCCCTCTTACCAAGACCATAATATACGAGCCTCCACGCGCTGAGGCTTGGGTGTGGTTACTGGGGTTTGGCGTTGCCCGCATCATCACAGCGTCAGGGACCTAGGCCGCGGCCGGGCCATGGCCTCCTCACAATGTAATAGTTGCATGTGTTTCTTTTGGGTCTCAAGTGTTGATCTCGGCTGCAAACAGTGTGTTTGAACCCCAACATGTGATGGTTGCAGGATCCGGCCGGGATCAGCTTCAATCGAACGTTAAGTTGAGAGAGTTGAGGGCGTCGCCGTTCAATGCTTTTGAGCCATACTTACTTGCTACCTTTTGGACTCTTTCGAAGTGATTCAGTGATTTCAAAGAAGAGTCATGGCACCAGCCCACCCCGGCCCAACCTGCACCAGCCCTGCACCACCTGGGAATGGACACCTGAGCGACACCGAGGTGGAAGCTGCTGCACGGTTGCGGGAAGTACCTGGGGCGAAAAAAGGAGGACCAGGATGTGAATCCAGGTGCGGGGGGGCTTTGCAGTTTGTGTTTGGGTTCCCATGGACCCATCACCCATCAATTATTGTTTGGATGTTTGTTGCTATTATATTGTTTTTGTGTTTGTTTTTTGTTTCAGATGTTCTTGAACGGTTGCTTTTGGTTGATGATGGCCCATGTGGTTGTGAGAGTGCCTGGAACACCTTGCTCAAGCCGGAGAATCTCAACATATACTTTAGAGTTTGTGTGGGTTTGTCGTTTTTGCCATTTTGTATGTTTGCACAGTTGTTTGGTTGCTTGTGTTTCCCCACTTGTGTGTTTGTTTGTTTGTTTGATTTATGTTCTTGTTTTTTTTGGTTTAGCTTATTTGTTTGGTGTTGTGTTTTTGTCGGATTGCTTGCTTGTGGTGTTAGTTTTACTTGCGCGTGCTTCTTTTTCCCAGAGATTTAAGGGCAGAGAGTGGCCAGAGTCAAAGTCGGCCTTGGGGCATGAGAACTGGCTTTCGGGGAGTCACGAGTGGCGGTTATTTTGGATGGTTACTCATCCAAGACTAAGAGCCAAGGTGAATTCCCTAGAATGTTTGGCTAAGAGTTTGGGAGTGGATCGAAGTCCCCAAAAGCAAAGGCATTAGACATTTGTCCCCATTTGAAGGGTGTATTTAGTTTTAGACATGGACATCATACTGTCATGCACCTTGCCAAACCAACCTACTTATATTGCTAATCCTTCTTTAGGTGATTGCTATTCTTGTTTGAGTTTGGTCAGATGATGGCCTTGGCCCAAGCACCTAGACTAGTTTTTTCATTCTTAATTGGGGAATTCACAAAGGGCTTGACCCAGCTTTGGCTCTCACCCTCCCCAAACGCAGCCCAAAGTCAAAGGGTTTGACAGCTTTTCTTGAAAGCACCTGCTTTGGGGTCCCCAAGTTCGGGCACGAAGCGATCCAGGTTGAAGATTTCCACCGTGACACGAAGCGATCTGACCGGTGCCAAGGTTCGAGGCCCCTTTCCCAGCGTGAGCTTCTTCGTTTTCGGAGGTGCTGTCGTTTTCGGGTGTCTCGTCGGGAGGATGTTGGAGGATCAGACATCCCTTCAAAACCTTAGGAAAACAACCCTCATTTGCAGGGCTGCCCTGAATTTCGCCTTTGAGCACCTTCAGATCTTCTGCCAGGGCGTCGCTTTTTGCTGGGCCTGGTGCTGGTGCTGCTCTTGCGGGCAGTGACCAAGGAGGTCCTGAAGCTGCTGGGACTTCGATCTGCTTGGGGACCATAGAGTTTTCTGAGGGTTTCTGAACAGGTTGTCCCTGTTGGAGAAAAAACACATGGAGAAAAGCTATTCTGGTCAGTTGATGGTTTTGAATGTGTTTGACAGATCGGACATAATTCCCTGAATCAGTTCGGAAAGCAACTCGGGGGATGAACAAAAAAGGATGTTGTACCATCCATTAAATGCTATGTGTAGTGCTACGTGTTTAAGTCAACAGTCTATAGTTATAGCTCCAAAATCGAAACGTCAAACCCATGGAGAACGATGGGAACTGTGCAAGGACGACCCGAAACGAAGACGGGAAGACGAGGATGGCGAAATCAGTCTTTGAACACGATTATATTTTTCGACCGCTGGCACCGATGAAATTGATCCAGGCGACTGGAAGATGTTGAAAGTCTCCATTTCAACGGATTTCTCCATTCTCAAAGTCCGAGTGTCACATGTGTTTTTTAAACTCTACAGTTGTCCCAGCATCACTGGGGATAGGATCACCGAGTTACAGTGCTGAGAATCATCACTTGCAAGACTGGTTATTAAGACTTGGACGCAGCTGCTGACAGCTCAGGATCCTTGTCCCAGCAGTGTTGCGGCTTTTGAGCATTCCGCACTCTGATCATGAGCAGATCCGGCATGTTGAGATGTACCGGGAGCTCCAAGGTGGTACTCGTAGCTCATTGGGCCTCCAAGGCTCCAAGTCATAGCAGACCTGGTGAGTTGTTCTTCTGGGCCACCTGGGATGCGCAAAGCTTATCACGCAGCTACTCAGTGACTCAGGGATATCCAAAAAGCAGCTGACAGGGTGCCGATTCAGTGCATTGATATGCATTGATGTTTTCAGAGTAACAAGGGCATCGCCATTAGGAACAGGTGCATCGCTACTACGTCAGTGTAGTAGCAAGAAGCTACCAGTATCTATTTGCTACTAGTAGTACTGCCAGGAGCTACTACTAGCGTCGAGTCCTTGTTTCTTGATTTCAATCCATCGAGTTCTGTCACACGAAGTCGTTGGTTTGGGCAGCATGAAGCGACGGCCAGGGCGCAAGAGAAGGCAAAAAAAGAGCCCCATTGGCTACAACGCTTGGCACTCAGAGAAGAGTTTCAGCTCGGGCTTATGGCCAGATATATAAGATGTCCTCAACGGGTCATAATTCGATGCGGGATGATGCAGGTTGTTGTACTGACATAGTTTCACCTGTAAGCAGATGTACAGTAGATCATTTGCTTGATGAACACTACGGCTTGTATCTGCAACAAACCATTGGTTGGGTGTCCACGTGGTCTTGTCTCCTCTAGTAGTGTACGCTTCTTCTAATCAGAATGGAAGTGGGAAGACATAAGTTCTCGAGGAGTCGAAGACTAAGAACTTTTTTTCAAACAAATGCACAAGTGGGTATGGGATGTTCAAGAACAAACGTGAGGAGGAACCATAAATTCAACAAATTAATATGTTATATATGTTGTTTTATTGTGTTTTGGTGTTTGTTTCACTTTGCCATCTTCAACTTGTTGAATATCGCAAGTTCAGAGTAGAGACGAAAAAACACATCATTTTTGATGTGATCTCTGTATACTTTGCGCATGTTTCTCGTGCACTTCTGCATGCTTCTCCGCGCTTGGATGGCCCTGCGCTTCGCCCTGGAGGTCCTGACACCCATCCGACTGCTGAACTATGCGGCCGTGGGTTGGGCCGTGGTCGGGGGCCCACGAGTCTGGTCGGGATGCAAAAGCAGGTGGTCTCTTCGTAGCTGTAGCAAGTTGTTTGTTTTTTTTCCGTTTTTTTCGGGGTCTTTTCTTGGGGTCCCAATAGTCTCAAATATCAGCGGATGAGGGCGGTTTTTGGTCTGGGCATCTACTCTCGACAGTAAAAATTGTCAGAACTCAGACAAAGAACAGAAAAAGCGTTTAAATATATCTAAATATCATATTTTTGTGTGTTTACTGGGGCATGCCAGGCGCTTTTGTCCACTAGTTTCCCGAACATCGATTTTCCTGAGACCTGAGGGAATTTGTCCTCTTTATGGTTACAATGCTATGGGGTGGTACGGTTTGCTTGTCGTTTTGGAGGGCGTTTGGGAGCGGTCATGGCCCTGTTTCTTGGTCCTTGGTCTTTAGGAACCTTTACTCTCCTAGCCAACTACTCTACAATTTGGACCACACACCACACCACTAGTACTGGATGTTTGTGTAGCTAGATGGTCCAAGCTTGCAGTGCAGATATTGTGTGTTTTTGAGTGCGCAACAACATTGGGAGTTTTCCCAGATATCCTAGACATTAGCAGTTACAGTACCACATGAACCATGGCCAGATCTCCCGGGTGTCTGAAGTCCAAGTCCAAGTGTCTTCCGCTTCGAGCCGAGCCCATGGAGTCGGGCACAGACACAGACGGACGATAATGCTCTTTGCACTTGGCCGTGGTAATCGCCGTCTCCTCTTCGAAATCTTGCTACAACTAGACCGCCGCGCGGTCTCAACTCATCTCATGGCTTTCCCAAAACTTGTGAAATCATGTTTATTGTACTCACTCACAGTATGTTTGCAAACATTTGCTTCCTTGTGGACATTGGCTGAGTTGCGTCCCCTTGTGAGGCCTTTCTCGGAGCTCTCGAAGACTCAAAAGGCCTCTTTCGCCGAAGCGCACTCGTCTCAGGTGGAGCCTTGCTTCGACCTCTTTCAGTGGCTTCACATCTGAGACTCGCTTCACTCGCACCGCGCGCGCCGCTCGTCCGGCCTCACGGTCGGGGCTTTCCAGACCAAACGGTTCGGACCGGTCCAGTTTTAATGGAAGCCTGGTGTTTGTGGGTAGTGAATGGTAGTGAAGAGGACGATTTCACCGTTTTGATGCCATGGTAAAGTCGCCCATTCGGGCCCTTTCTAGGGGTATGCCCAAAAGACGAGCTTGAAGACAGCGATGCAATTTGCTATCATTTCAATAGCAACGCTGAACTAGTCTCATTTGACAAAGTTTTGCAATTGTGTAGGATGCCTCGCAGGCCTTGGATGAAGCAGGGTTGGTGCTTGCGGGGTATGTACAAAGCTGGCCTGCTGAGGATGCGCCATGTGCTCCAAGCAGATTAATAAATCCTCAGCCATGTGCTGTGTTGTTTACCCGATTGATTTCTTGGCTCGAAAAGAGAGGTGCACCTGGCCCAAACCTGGGAGTGACCGGACAACTATAGGGTCCGTGCAGGCACGAAAGGGCTTTCCAGTCAGTACCACTGACTGGAAAATCACGGGATCAATCCTGCTTGGGTGTCAGGATCTGTTAGGTACCCCCCAAACTCATCGAATCAAATCAACGAATAAACTATTCGTTTCTCAGAATCCCTCACTGTCCCCCGGCCACGGTCAGTCCAAGTCCTAACGAAACCAATGCATTTCGGGATGAACGGTCCGACATCCCCGGATGAACGTCGCAGACTGACGAACGTCGCGTGACCGGTGCGTCTCGTCAAGAGGTCCAAAAGCATGCACATGTTGGGAATGTATGCTCTAGTGTATGCTCTATACCTTTTTTGTGATGTGGGGTTTTTGGCCCAAACCCAACACACCCAACATCACTGCATTCAACCTTACCTTTTTGGTGAATCTTGTGGATTTGCAGTGGACACTCCTTGGACCTGGAAGGTCATGGTACATGACGTGCCAAGATGCGCCAAGCGGTTCCAACAGACGTGGACCGGACCCAATCCCTGGATCCGAAGCCGACGTTGGGTCGAGGATGACGTAGCAGATGAAGCATGATGAAGCACTTTGTTATGCCAAGTACTTTTGGCTTGAGTGAAAGGGGGATCCTCCCTCCCAGGGTCCCAGACTGTTCTTTTCCCGACGATGTGGGGGAAGACTGAACCGTTTTTTTTGACGTTGCATTCAACGACGGTCCAGGCGCATGGCTCATCAGATCGGTACGTTTCTTGAGGCCGAAACACCCGCTACTTGCTGTTTGTTTTGGGCTCCAGACGTTGCCGCATGTGGCGCAACGCATGGAGCGCACAAGTGTATGGGTTGCCAAGCAGCTGGGCGCAACTGGATCTGAAGAATAGAATGAAGATGCATGTGGCCACCACACGGATGTGAAAACAACTGTTACGCATGATCAAGGCTGCAATGTAGTACCAGTAGCGGATGGCCTCACCAGGTGTTTGGAAGCAACCAAACACAGAACCAAGAAACCTTGCTAACGGAGTCTTCTTTTCTTGACATATAGAATTCAGCCACCACACTCAATAGTATAATTTGAAAGTATCATAGTACCTGATACCCTACTTGGTGCAGGCATCAATCCGTCAGACGGTGGGTCCAAAGGACTTAATTTGCCATCGATGCAATCACTTAGATTGGATGGCCGACTGGCTGAGATTTTGTAGGAAGATCGCGCGCAGGCTGGACATGTGAGATAGCACGGGGTGCGACAACCCATTTCGGCGTTGGCGTGGTGGATCGTGGTAGCTTTTCAGTGCCCGCAAGCGACTACTGTAGTGCAGTGTGAGAAACGTAATCGTCCATGGTCCATAATGGTTGCCGTTGTTGAACAAGCACTTTGCTTCAATTATTATGTTTAGATCAGATAGAGCTTAAAGAATAGCCCTGAATCGTTTGTTTACTGATTTGAAGATGATTTGCCTTTGACCTGGCCCAGCTCGCTTCTCGCCAGGCGTTCCGCGCGCGCGTTCGGGGACCTCGTGGATGTCCCCACGATGTGCCGATTTGGTGGAGGCGAGTCGTCGGCGTTTTGCTGTGTTGCTTTGCTTCGATGGGGAGGAAGGGGGGGGCAAGATAAAGGTTGAAGATCAACGATTCTCTACTAGTATACAACAAGGGCATCGCTACTAGGAACAAGGGCTACTAGTAACAAGGTCGTTACTACTAGTAGATCTACTAGCATTAAGCTACTAGTAACAAGAGTAACAAAATAAGCCCACGTGTTGGTTGACACATGCATGGGAGAACGTTATCGTGGTTTCCTTCAGAAGGTGCTTTGGTCGGTGAGGATTCGTTGGACCTTTGGACAGGTGAACATGGACCAAAAGAGGTGGTGGAACTATTGAGAGGATGATCAGCAAACTGCGACAATTAGCCATGGTCAGCAGAACCACTGAAACCGTGGTCACTCTCTCTCTCTCTCTAAGTTTTGTTTGTGCACTGTTGATATAAAACACATGACATGTAGTTTATACAGTACCCAGCTGTTTAGATGAATGAGGTCTCAAAGTAGCTAGAGGCGCTTCCGGAAGCAGCCTGCGGATGCAGCCAAATCCGATTCTAACTTATATATAATACATACAACCGCTATAAGATGTAGCCCAAAGCCACCTAAGTGGAGGTGGTATGTCATTGGATTTTGTGGAGGCGACCCAAGTGACCAACTCAAACATACTGAAAAACAAGACCATTCAAATGGTTTAAAAAAGAAGCTATTAGAAACAAGTGCATCGCTTCTAGTAACAAGTGCCTTACTAGTAGTAACAAGAAGCTACTAGTAACAAGATCATTCAAATGGTTTGCATGGAGCGTTTTGGAACACTTTTTTGGCACATGCTCATCGCGCCAGACTTTGGGGATGCTCCAGTCCATCGTCGCAGCCTCAGAGACGTTGGCGCTGTCATCGTCAGGTCCTTTTTTTTTTCCTCATTGGTTCGGGGGTTCCTGAATAGGGCTCAGCAGTTATTCTTGTGCACAAGCACAATATAGCAAAATACTGTTGTTTCATGGTGGCTTTTTCATGTAATTATGTTTGCTTAAACTTTAGCGGTGTGTTATGGTGCTTTGTCGGTTAACCAGAAGTAATTACCACAGAACACGAGTTTCATAACAAGCTATTCACTCGAAATTCCTGAATGTTGAATACAGTTGAGCCTCGATGACCCCAAAGAGGCATTGTGACATGGCTTTCGTGCCGATGGTTTTGTTGAAGGGATGTCCGTTGGAAGTGAGTATTGTACAAATCATACGGATGTTTGGCTTGGATGGGTTCAGGATTTTGCTGCTGAAGCACCAGTGCCATCTCAAAGTCTCTCTCTCTCTCTCTGTCTCTCTCTCTCTCTCTCACTCCTTTCTTTGGGTGTTCTTTAAACACTGGTGAGAAAGTTGAGTGTAATTATCACGATCCCCAGTCTGCACTGGGAGATCTCGTCGGTCAACCAGGGATCTCCATCTACATGAACGGTCATGCACATTCATTCCACTTTTCGATTCTCAAAGGCTATCAAAAGTGGTGAGGTCGACGTGTCGACCTTTGTGTTTCCTGTGCTTAAGCCTTTGTTGCATGCTCCAAAGGCTTAGATGCTTGTAAGATACTAGTAGCTTTTAGGGCCACAAAAGGGCCCAAACCACTGGTCACAACAGTGTTGCCAAGTGACTTGGCTGGCGGTGCCAAGCCATGTTTGGAAGTAGCATGGAACGCCATGGCCAAAGCAATTAATGTTGTAGAGATGGGACTGGCTATGTGACATTTGGTGTGGGTCAAAGACTCCGAACCATGGTTCACATTTTTGGTAGTCTATGTGTTAGGGGAATGTAGGGGAGCTAGGGGGCGTTGATTCAATTCCCAACCATGTCTAGGGTTGTTTGTCACCATCCTTGACCAACCCACTCCAAAAGAAGCCAGCATCCGCTACTACTGCCAATCCAGAACACATGATCAAATATCCTGGTTTTGGGCATGGTCAGGCCGACCTGTTCTTGAACGTCCTGGCCTCAGCGTTGGGTTTTCGCCATGGTCCAACTTTCTGCGAGACGTTTCGCAGTTGAACTCGTTGAGGATCTGCGTGAACTCATGGCGTTCATGTTGAGGAACTAACCCCGATCACACCCCAAAATATGCACCTTCCCAGGGTCTTAGACTGTGGTACCTTTCAAAAAAGGTACTCTCCCTGCGTCGACGAACACCGCTCTCCTCGTGTTTTTTCAGCCCACATGGATGCTCCGCACGATGCTCCTCACGATGCTCCGCACGATTCCTGGGAAGGTTCTGGTCTATTTGAGAGCCACGACGTCCGAAGGCCTCAGAATCCGTTGGTGACCGCGGCGGGAGGAGGCTCCGGCGAGATTGGAGGCATTGCGCGGAAGGAACTCGGAGGCTTACATCGTTCTTACATCTTACTGCTTCAGACCTTTGATTGTTAAGATGACAAGGGTACATCAACAAAGTACGTGTTTTTGTTGTTTCATATATACAACAAAAGGCACCTTATTTGTGCGTTGCGTAATTCATTAAACGCAACACACCAACAGGTTATGTAATCTTCCCCTTTTCCATTGGTTTTGATGGTTTTCAGTGAACCTAAGGCTGGCTTTGTGTGGCCACCGTTTGAGTGCCGAATCTTGATTGCTGTCGTGCTGAGGTTGAGCAAACTCTTGTATTCCTCGCACGAGGCACAAGAGCCTGCCTGACTGTTGTTTGTTTTTTGGAGGTTCGTGATGAACGTTGGTGTTTGTCCTGTGTTTTGCTTTTTCAAGCCAACACTACCAGGAAAGGATGTTGCAGAAATAGCATGAACATGCAACAACCAAACTCGATAACAAGGATCATTGCAACAAGAAACATGATACCACCAAACCAACCACAAGGCCCTGAGCATCCGACATGCATGATTTTTTTTGTTTTGCTCACATGACATCTATGGGACCAGGCGCCTAAAGGAGCGCCCTGACTAGTCGTGGCACCACGACTGGTGACCCTCCAAAGAGAAGCCACGACTAGTCCAGGTACTGATGTTTCATGAGAACCAGATGGTGAGTAAGAGGTGGAAATGGTAGTTCCTATAGAAGTATATACAACTTGTGGGGAAAATTAAAGCGGGTAGAACCTCCTTTCTAAGGATGTTTTGGACACTGCTTTTAACTATATTTAA